ACTAAAAGTAACTTTTAGTGTAACTTTTGGTGTCTGCAACACCTAGGAAAAATAGTACTAAGTTTTCTAGAAGAAGATTTTACTAAATGAAGTCCACTGACTTTGTCATATGAACTTGTCCAAAACACCTTACTAAAGGCTCTAAAGTTAATAAAAACCGCAGTACCTTCGATCTTTCGAAATTTGGAGCTTCACCGATCAATTCAAGCAAATTCACAATGAGAAAACATATATGCTTCTACAACAATCATGGCTTCACGTTATAGAAATTACACGTTCAAAGCTAATACCTCTTCAATACCTAGATCGCACAAGATTCGACTTCTTCAAATCTCAGTATCACTTCAAATAATATTGTTTATAATGATAACCCAACCTTCATCAATAATAACAAGAGAAAGAATTGTTGTTCTACCGATCGATAACATTTACATTACCCCGTGAATGGACTATAGAGCTAAAAATGTGTTACGTACGCTTCTGCTGTGAATGATGTCAAAACTAGTTTTGTCTTCATGATCTCTTTAGCATTTGGAAACTGTAATGTAATTAAAAAATAGATGTATTAATGATATTATAGTGGAAATGGAATGGACCCTTTAGTCATAAATGTTATCGGCGAAATTCAGAAATGTGGCTTTGAAATTCAATGTATTATAACTGATGATTGTAGAATCAATTGAAGTATCTCAGGTGCAGGCGCCATGCGGCAGGTCCTTCACCTGGCATCAGGAACCTCTATACAAAACTGACAACCATGATAGGCTGATGTGTCGAAGACACCATAATAGCAGACCTATTTTTCGCCTTCAGTTTACTCGATCGGAGAAAAGCTGAGGACATGTATTTTGACAAGGTCTTCAATAATTCTGAAGGGAACCCTATGATCGGCTTATTCTTTTCTAGTCTTTGAATGGGTTCCACCTCAGTGATAAAGTTGTGGACCCCTCATACTTCCTACTTTTGTAGTCGCGAATCAAAGGGGCCATAGAAGGTTTATTGTGGATATTGTGGCAAAGAAGTGAGGTTAGAACTTCTCAAGACTTTACAGGCACCATTTGATTTGGGATGCAAACTCTTGTTGAGATGAATTATTTTTTTACAGTCAGTAAAATCTTGCCATCTGAAATAACCACTTTTTTCATGAACAGCTTTTTGTTCCAGTTTGTACATCAAAACTTCAATACTTCATGAAGCATTTACCACGAATGATACATCAATGTTTTCACTTGGAACTTTGGTTGTTTGAATTGATAGAAAGGAAAGTTTTGGTATTTCAATGTTCCTAAAGAAAAGTGGTTGTGAATGATGATTTTTTTAATTTCAATAGGAATAAGAAAATCATGAGAATTATTTGCAAAAAAAGATTTGGAATTCCGTGTAGATTGAGTTTAATGTATTCAACTTATTTCAATTATTATTGTAATTGCAATTGCAATTATTGCAATTATGAACAATAACAGAAAAACACAAAGAAATATCTACAATAATGAAGTGAATGAAAAGGAAAATGTTCAATTTTTGTAATAAAAAACAACATCAGAAAGAAGGAAATATCTATAACGAATTTCTTGAAATGCATACGGTTATGAAAAAAACATTAGTGTTGCTAAAAGGCAACCCTTATAGATTCGAAACGAAAAAATAATTTTGAGTGGTCACAGAATATAACGCCAAAAAAATTCCATTCTAATAAGCCAATAATACATCACATTTAAACTCTTTATTCGAAGTTAACACTTGAATTGGTGTTAATTCAGCTCACGATTCTAAATAATGTGAAAAAAACTAATGATTTCAATCTTAGTGTTCATTTTCACTGACAATTATTATAATCAATCAAAAATATTTAATTTATATTACCATCGACACGCTCATAGTGTGGTAGGCAGTGATGGATGAGTTTTTTTTATTTAACGTGGGATTGCCGATAAAATCAGTAACAAGCAACTCAAATTATTATTTTTAGAACTGCTTCTCTGAAACTACTTTTCTGAGTATGGTATTTCAAATTCGTTTGCGAACATTCAATGAGAATAATATTGAAACGTTACACCAAAAGTGGATAATCTTAGTTGTCTCGATTGTCAACAAAAAAGATTTACTTGAACCAAAAACGCTTTGAGGTTCAATATTTCAGTCCTTTTTTCTCAATGTACATCAACTGCAACTTTCAGATATAACTTAAAAAAAAAGATAACAATTATATTTCATTTAATGGGGGGTTACTTCCCCTCATCCCCACCGGCGGGACGCCACTGCCGGACAACGCCATGGGATCGAATGAGAAGCAGCAGGTAATTTGGATTAAGCTCGCTTTTCGTTAGTAAAGAATTTAAAGGGTCTTTCGTTTATTTTCTTCATTAGCAACCGAATGTTATGGGGATACTTCGAATTTCTTTCGAATGATTTTCATTATAAATTGTACGAGATCTCGAGTTTTTACCTGTAATTGAAGTAGTGGTTGGTTCGTCGTTAATTTCTGATGGAAATGTTGTCGCGTTCGAATCATCACAAAGAGGAACTTTTCTAACATTCAATCAAAGTTTAGCTCATTATTAAAAGTATCCTATGGAAAGTGAGGTTAGAAACAATGTGGTGAAGTTGGTTGCTGAATCTACTAATTAGGTGAAACCACAGAAAAATGTATTTAACTCTTGTGTTCCCAATATCAACAGTATCAATTTTAATAGACAGATTGAAACTTTCAATCTTTCTCCTATATTTTGATTAATTCAGTGGTAACAAACAGGAATACCCTAACAACGCGTTACTTATATACTAACAACTATCATCATAAAGATTTTAGTAGAAAGGAATTTTTCTATAAAAATCAGTTGAGAACTCTACTTTACAGATCAAGTTTGCCTTTTCCAAATTCATTGTATTGATTATTGTTATATTTTTACTTCGGAGAAATGTTGTTAAAGAATATTATATAAAGTTCATTTTTGAAGGAGTCCAAAATTTACTGTACTGAAAAATTCATCAAATATCGAACATATTTTGTCAAGTGCATTACAGTTACAACAAAAAAGATTTTGTCTAAAAAGTAACCCAGCAAAGGGAGAAGAGAAGTGTAGGTACTTGTTGAAGCCAGAATACAGAAACAATTTTGTTGTTCAGTAGATTTGATAGAAACATTATATTATGATGTTTCTTCTGTGTTCCCGTTTTATCATACTTAATTATTTCCTTACCGGATTACATGAAAAAAACTCAGGATTTTTGTGGCAGTTTTCATAATACAAAAACGTTACCTATAAATCTGTTCTATGGAGTGAACGACCCCACAACATAGGAATATCTTCGATTTCCCGTGATATACTTAAGAATAGTGGAACTCCAACTTAGATTGAATTTACCATGTCACAGTTTTCAGAATCTAATTGTATGGCGGAACCCCTAAATATAATTCTTCAAAGAGAACAAAATTTTTAAGGTTACATATAATATAGACTTTGGTTTGATGCCATAGACGCTCTGTAAATAATGATTTGTGAGCACTTTTGATTCATGAAATGTATAAATTTCTCTCTTACTTTAACTAGATTGATAATTTCGGCCAAATTTATGTTAATGGAGAGCAAAAAGTCTTCTAAAAAATATTTCATTATCTATCTGGCCATTATCTTCTGGCCATTGAAGAAACCCACAAGAAGCTCCGAGACTGGTTGAGATACGTAGGCGACACCTTCATAATATGGAACCATGGAAATGCAGAACCAGACACTTTCCTGAAGCACATCAACAACGTAAGTCCTTCCATCACTTTCACAATGGAGAAAGGAGTCCACAACGAATTGCATTTCTTATGTGTGAAGAGGACCAACACTGAATGGGAAACATCTGTACATCGAAAACTCACTCACACAGGACAGTATCTGAACCAGAACTCCAACCACCATCAATCGACTGAGAGAGGAATCATCAATACTCTACTAGACCGTGCTTTCGGGCTCTGTAATACAAAGGAAGGTCTCAAAAAGGAACTAGGCATCATCAAAAATGATCTTCAACGGAATGGTTACACCAGAGTCATGCTACAACAGGCTTTAGCTAGAAGACAGCAAGAGCTCCACAAGGAAGAGAAGCCGCCACAACCAGTACTTGTACTTCCCCACATCAGAGGATTATCGGAAAGGATAAAAGGATTAGGTCAAAGTATAACATCAGGACCTGCTTCAGATCTGGGAACACTATCCGTAGCAGCCTCACGAAAACCAGGCCACCAAACGCGGACTGCGATTCCAAGAATTGCATATACCGGATACCCTGCGATCGCGAAAAATCATACATCGGTGAAACTAAGAGGCCATTGAAATCTCGCATTGCTGAGCACAAGAAACACACACTGCGAAGAGAAACCAGCAAATCCGGAATAGCAGAGCATTTTTGGACTCATCAACCTAACATCAAGTGTGCTCAAGCTAAAATCATCCACAAAGAGGAACACTGGTTTAGGAGAAAATTCAAAGAAGCCGCGTATGTGTTATCCAACAACGCATTTAGACAAGCTAGCGTAAATATACGTAACATATTCAAGCGAAAACCGACCAACTTCCGCCAAACGGTCTTCTCCTGCTAAAACCAATGAAGCGGGAAGAGGAAAGAGGGGATAGGTAAAAGCACTCGAAGGACCTATAAATAGTCAGATCTCCGAGGAATAAGTCCAGTTATCACCCGAAGACGATTGTGGATACTACCAATCGAAACCTCATGACGTAACTTGGTTTGGAATCTTTGAATTTTTATTTTTCATTTTCTGTTAATAATATTTTCATCAACCTAACATCAAGTGTGCTCAAGCAAAAACATCCACAAAGTGGAACACTGGTTTAGGAGAAAATTCAAAGAAGCCGCGTATATGTTATCCAACAACGCATTTAGTCAAGCAAGCGTAGACCTAGAAGAATTTCGTTCTCAATAATCCTATTTATTTTTTAATGAGCCCAAATCAAACAAAGCTACCCATTCCAAAACGTTCTAAAAAAACTTACCGTCCATCTAAAGGTGAAAGGCAAGACCAGTTTTCCCCTGTCGGGGTCGGCAAGTGTGAAGGAGTCCCTCCCTAGGACGTGACTGGACGTGTTCCCGAAGGAACAAGAGCCCGTGCTGGTCACGTTGCTCTGGTACTCTTTCAGGCAGAGCCTGAAGAAAGTCTGGCACGGCATCGAACAGCGGCTCGTCAATGGGGATCGTACACCCCCGCCGCAGCACTCACCGCTCGACAGTTCGCTACGCGGATTCGCCATTTCCAGTACTTGCAGTTCGAAAAAACCCGAGCCATGCGTGCACTGAAACAAAAAAAAATTATATGAAATGTTTTTTCTGGACGCTTGTGGATACCAGAAGTTGGGGGACCCACGAGGTTGGATTATGGGGCCCATTCTGAATATGTTATACGAAACCAGTATCCCACAATTCCTAATGTGGTTTATTATTATAGCTACTATACTGTTTTACAAAATTAAATATTTTTGTTTACGTAATAAGGGTGCATTTCCACGGAACCCATTTGTTTATATCTCTTTGGTAATTTTTTTACTTATAAACCATAATCTGGTTTTTGAGCATCGCTACTACTACTACCAAGTACTACCCTGTTGTTAGAAGCATTACCATATTTGAACCAACTGATGAAAATGAACTATCTACAATGGTGGTTTTCGATAACACTAAGACATTTGATACTTCAGACCTTCTTTGTAATTTTTTGCTTTGGAATCAATAATGGAGCTGTTCAAGCATCACAAAATAATTTGAACAACTGGACTCAATTCCTATATTGAGATGGTCAGTATTCAAATGTCTTATATGTGAATTTTAGAGTACCGCACGGTTCAACTCTGGGTCTACTTTCATTATCGACATGAAATTCGACAATTGATGCTGCTGACACTCAGCTATATTACTGACGACTTGCAAAAACTATGGATATGTTTATGGAACACACCCTTTTATACAACATAACCTTGGTTATCAAATCGTAACTCATTCTTTTTGGATCCAAACTTGGAGGGACAGAATTTGAGGAGTTGATCAACATAAGACTTGGGGTGAACTCTTCCGAAGATTCCAGAAGTATGAGACCTTCAAGAGTTGCTTCAATGTATTGCGTCAACTAATTTCGAATGAAAAGCTCTCATCTCAAATTTAAACTTTGTGAAATACTGATAGTATACAGACTGCGATATTATTAACGGCCCTGCTCTGATACAGAGAAATTCAGAAAAGTGTATCCGTTTTACATATGAAATTCGTAAGTTCAACCATATATACGCCAAATTTGAAGAGTCTGGTTGAGACTTGAACAAATATAAGTACAGATTTTGTATACCTACTTGTACTAGAAATTCTCTATACAAATCTATTGAACATTATGATGATTCCATATATGAAAAATACACATATCATTTTATATAAACATATATAAATTGAAACTATTTCTCAATCCTCTGAATAGGTTGTTTGGTACTTTCAATTGAAATCTCTAATGGCTTAATACACATATCATGATTATTCCTTCAGACACAATTTTCTTTTTGTTTATGATATTATCGGTATGAAAGGTAACGGTAACAAAAATGATTCACAACCTAGTCGAAGAACTTATTACATATTTCTACTACATTCCTCAAACTTTGTCAATCAGAAACTCCATAAATAACTTCTCCACTTCGTGTAACCGGCCACTATCTATACAAACAGCAATTCATTGAAGCAACGAGAGTTGACAAGAAGAATGTAGATATTAATTCATTGCGACTGAAACAATGAAATCACGAGATTGGACGTGCCGATAAAGCAGGGAACCTTCCTTGCTGTACTTCAAAGGAATGTACCTCAAGACTAAGTACGCCATTTGATTTGTATGTCCGAGTTATCTCTCCCCAGGAAATTCCATAGGAAGAAAAAAAATAGTTTCATAGTATTGTCCTTCGGAATACTGAAGGTGATTCGTAAAGAAATTGTGATCATTAAATTGAGGAAGATAAGAAAGAGATCATTAATTGAATATAAAGTTAAGTAGAGTAAGTTTATTGTAAAGCAAAGTAAGTTTAGTGACTACGTTACATACTCAAATATGTTTGTAGCAAGTCATTTACAATATAAATGAGTCCTAAATATTGGACAACATAAACATTTAAAAAAATATATCTACAATAATCTGCACATAAACTATTGTCAAAATTAGGTTGTTGAGATATGTTCCAAATATTCATTAACTGAGTAGAAACAGTATCCCAGAAGATATTTTTCCACCGTTTTTTTAAACTTAGATTGACTGAGAACTCCAAACTCAAGAGGAAGACGATTATACAAATTATAGTCCAGGCTATTTTTTTGAGAACGAAATCGTTCTTTTCGAACTGAATTGGCAATTATTGTATTATATTTATGTACATCAGAGTTGAGGGTTCTTTAAAAAATTGGTTTTTGTGAGAAAAAATATTGATTTCCAAGTGGCGTTGGTACGCAGCATATTTTTTTATCGTACTCTTCAATGAGATGGAAAACAAAGCAAGAAACTAAGAGGGAATATAAATTTGAAAAGGTGATTCAGTTTAAAAACCGTAAAGTTATAGTGACAAATGAAGTTGACGATGAAAAAAAATATATGAAACATTTCTGAAAGCCAGCATACTAGTGAAGACAAAAATGTGTCAGAATCAACCAAAATATAAGCATATAAAACAATAATTATATCAACAGTACTCTATGCATGTGAAATATCGAAAGGAAAAAAGAGAGATGAAGTTTTGGGACAGGAAAATATCGAGGAAAATATAAAAAAGGCAGATGGAGAATGAAGATGACGAAGAAATCAAGAGTTGATGGAGATATATGGAAGTCTTTAAATAACACAGGAAATTGTAGCACAAAGAGTTAGCTTGCATCTTCTACGAATGCCAAGGAAAATCCTGCGAGTACTACAACCAAGGAAGCAGAAACGAACTGAAGAGAGCGACTTACGCAGAATTGGTAAGATGCCGTAGAGAGGAATTAAAAAATAGAGAATGATTGGAAATTGGAAAGAACAAACAGCAACTAACCAAGAATACAGACGCTAGAGTCTCTATTGAAAATAGCAATGTTGATATTTGCAACATAAAAAAGAAAATTGATAACCAATAGCAATAAATGGCGTTTTGAAGCAATATGTTGTTGAATTTTATTTCATGTCCTAGTTACAGGTTCCACATCAGTCAAGGAAAAACATTTTCAAGCATATATCTATTGAAATCAAGGGGATAATGATACGAAGCCGAAAAAACAAATAATTCCGGTTTCAATAAACCAATACACGTGCGTCTGGAGATCATTATTCCAATTATCGACTTTCTCTTTGCATGAAAGAAAAAAAATTATTATAGGGTATGAGCTCAACAACTAATAACTATTTTGGCTTTCTGAATTAACGTTTTAACTTTTTGATATATTATCTCTCAGTTAACAGGTACAAATAAGGTACAAATACTAATAATATAAGCTGTAACAATGTTTTCAATAGTGGAATTCTAAGCCAACTTTTTTTTTGTGTAAGGTCAGTCTGGGGATCTTGACCTACGATCGAAGAAAACATCCTGTGTTCCCTCTAATACTATAATGGACTTCAAAATATCTGATGATGTTCGTGATATGTATTTTAAGATTGAGTATTACAAGTAGAAGTAAACTAAATGAATAAACCAATCAATTTTGGAATATTTTCAGTTTTTTAGTGAGGGAAAGGTTAATATCCATCTTTATACGAAGTCATGACTACATGTTGTTGTCCTTTCTTAAACTATCGATTTTCATTCACTTTCTTCTAACTTCAATGCACAACTGCATGCATTTCATAATTCTAGGTGTATTTTTTTTGATCTGGTTGGAGTTGAGAAATCTGAAGCATTCAGATAATAACATGACATGAAAATATATTCAACTGATAATTTATCAAACGTTACGCATGTTCTTCAAATTGCTTGAGGCCAACAGCTTCACTTTGTTAACACAGGCTGTTATAGCTCATGACTCAAATTGATATCAATACATATAGGTATTTTTTGGACGATATGCAAGTCAGTATGAAATTAATTACTATCTACCTATTTAGAAATTCATGTAAAGCTGTTTGATCTTATTAGGGCTATATACTAATTTGAAAATGTCCAGTTCTGACATCATAATTATATACCTATCCATAAGGAATTCAAAAATTTAATATTAACTCATTTATATTGCATGTATTTTCTCTCCGTTATCCAGCTGTATTTGCATGGTTTTAAACAGAACTTTGTTCAAATATTGAAGCCATATAGGTATTGGAAAAACATTCGTTGTTCAAATATTTTCACATGCTGGTAAGTATACAAGGTGACCCGATTCAAGATTTGACCTATGAATTATTTTCAATTGTCAGATTTCACGCAAATAGTAACGAAATCAATACTCAATAGCATAACTTTTGACAATCTTCCGAGGAAGAATGACATATCGTAATATAAAAGTTTTATCGGTTATGATATTGATATTCAAAGCTTTCTCCGCAATTTCTCTACTTTTCCATTGAAAATCATTTCCAAGAGCCTCAAAAAAGCCTTTTTTTTTCACAATGAGTGTATGATACACTCATATTTGACGGTATGAGTGTATTATTTTTTGACGAGTGCTAGTTTTAGTTTGAATAAATTTCTTGTTGAGAACATTGAAATTGTTAATATTTCTATCAGCTTATAATATGTACACGCACAATGCAATTTCCGTTCAAATTATAGAAAACTAGTTGTTGTCCGCGTATTATCAAACCCAGAACTTCAGGTTTCCAACTTCAAAACTAACAAAATTCAATATAATCTTTGAACCCCTATTTTTCCCTCTTGGGGGTGGAAATTCCTGATTCCGTTTCTCGATGCTTATTTACGCTATACAAAGAACCTACCTGCATATTTCAGATTCTAGGTTCAGTAGCTTCGGCTGTACGTTAATACAACAGTGTCAGTCAATCAATAGGTCCCCACTTATACAATATTGCATAGCATCAGCTAAAAAAACTGAAAGGATTAGAATGAAATACATTGGTAATCGTACTAATCCCACTACTACTAATATTATAAATGCGTAAAGTAACAGAGTTGCATAATGAGCTTTGCTCTCAACTAGAATTTTGTATATTAACGCATTTTTTGTCAATTGCAATTGCGTCGTTTAGTATTAACTCGGCCAAATAGGTTTCCTGGAATACAACTGAATTTTTTAAACAACCATTCATATAATTTGTCATCCAGCAAACTTTAAATAGTATTCAATT